TTAAACTTGATCCCAGAGACTGGAAAGATAGTACCTGAATTAAGGTGTTTGCCTGCAGACAGCTGACCTGGGTTAGATGGTCAGCACCCTATGGTGTCCCCTGAGCACTAAGGGAAGCAGTCCCCGAGCACAGAACTGGGAGTACTTGGGCTGGGAAAAGGGCTCTCAGCAATTATAGCTGGATAGGATCATTTTGGACAGGAACTGAGCGTTGAAAGGAATATACCTTTCATTATCTGTTTTGAAAACCATGATGCCCAAAACGGGGAAGGAGGATAGAGGGAGGGAGGGAGGGAAAGAGAGATGGGAAAAGAGAGAGGAGAAAGAGGAGAGAGGACAGAGAAAGAGAGAGGGGGAGAGAGAGAGAGAGAGAGAGAGAGAGAGAGAGAGAGAGAGAGAGAGAGAGAGAGAGGACATTGCTTGCCACAGAGGCAGACAGGGAAAGAAGCTGGAGGGAAAATGGGGACATTGGTGGTGAAAAATGTACACTGGTGAAGGGGCAAGTGTTGAAGCATTGCGTGACTGAAACCCAATCATGAACAACTTTGTGATTGTGTATCTCACTGTGATTCACTTAAGAAAAAAAACCAATAAAAGGGGGCTTTCAGTCAAAGCATTTATTTCTGTAGAGAAATCCCCCATCGTGCTTGGATTCTTGGAGGCGACCAAGTGGTATCAGGGACTCAAACGTGGGCAATACATGTTGGCATGTGCTCTACGGTTTGAGCTGTCGTCCTTGACCTCAGTCAAAGATTTTCTGGTTTCAAAATCTTGGGATGAATAGACTCAGTTGAAAAATAGACCAGAATATGAGACCTGGCTGATGATTTTGATTTTTCTTATCATAGCACAGTGGTAGGGCGTTTGCCTTGCACGCAGCCAACATGGCCGAGCCGAGTTCGATTCCTCCGCCCCTCTCGGAGAGCCCGGCAAGCTACCGAGAGTATCTCGCCCGCACGGCAGAGCCTGGCAAGCTCCCCGTGACGTATTCGATATGCCAAAGACAGTAACAACAAAGTCTCCAATGGAGATGTTACTGGGCCCGCTCAAGCAAATCGATGAACAACGGGAGGACAGTGACAGTTTAAAAAAAAATGTCTGGGCCACATCCAGCGATGCTTAGGATTTACTCCTGGTTCTGTACTTGGGGGACCATATCTGGCGCCAGGGATGGAAACTGAGTTGCTTAAGGCCAAAGTCTCTGCCGCTTCATTCTCTCTCTGATGGTTTTGGGATCTCTGCTGGAATCATGTTCTCTGTCTCTTCTGTCTAGCTTTTTTTTTTTATGGTCATGTGAGAATCACATGAAGAAAAGGAAAGGAAAAAATAACCGTGGTTGCAGTTAATGCAATAATTAAATGGAAACTGTATGTTTAAATTGCAGTTGGAATAGGAAATTAAATCATGCAAAAAGTGTTATAGATTTGGACAAGTTTTCATACTGGTAATAAATCTATGCATAATTCATTTTCTTGTAGGCTATGACAAAATAGCATAAATAACTTCATTTGTAAGGCTGCGAATTTTTCTATTCTTAATTGGGTGATGGCTAAAACTATTTAAATGCTTCTGCATGACTGAATATATAAATGTTGAAAATGAGCAGTTATAATAGGTTTCTAGGCAGATTGTTTATTTAATATTACTACATTTATTTCCAGATACTAGCCTAGTACAGATGTTGCATAAAAATTGCGCCCAATGGGGTATGAGTTTGATTGGGCCTTAGAGCAAGAGCTATTAACTCTGCTCTTGGAGAAAGTACTCTGGTACTCATAGACCCAATGTCGCATGCCAGGCACAGTACTAGTCACTCTACAGACTTTCCCCTTCCATCCCTGTGGATGATGCAGGTACATTAATCCCTTTAAAGGATGAAGATCTAGGGTTAGAGTGGGAGTTGTGTAGCAGGAATGCTGATGGGTGTTTGTGGTGGAACAGCCTAGAGTCGGGCACTTTTATTTATTTATTTATTTATTTCAATCAATCACAACCATCCTGTTATTTGTCGATTGCCTCAAGCAGGCCCCAGTAACATCTCTTTTGTCCTAGCCCTGAGATTTTTTAAAGAAATGTGTCATATTCAGGGCTCTTTCAGAGTTAGGAGAATGAGACCCTTCATTGTTACTGGTATTTGGCATATTGGGTACGCCACGGGGGAGTTTGCCAGACTCTGCCGTGTGGGCAGGTTACATTTGGTAGCCTGCCAGTTTGTCCAAAATAGGAATGAGATGATAAGATGTCGCGCGGCCAGTTCTTTTATGCGTGAGGCTCATCCAAGTGTGTGGAGAGTGGTCCCAGCATGGCCTTGGCTGGGGCCCGGAGGTCTTCAGCTGTTGGGCCCTGGTGAGGACAGTCAGGCACAGGGTAGGAGATTCTGCCTTGTTCTCTCCCGGGAGCTGAGTGTGATAATCTCTGGATCCTGGCCGTTGTTGGGGTCACACGGCAGTTGGTGGGTGTAACTGTCCAGCTACTGGCAGGTCCAGTCCCAAACCGTGCAAGGCTTGGAGATCTATTTATTTATTTTATAAAGTAGTTCACAATATTTGATAAGCCGGGCACTTTAGCTCTCTGAAATGTGCATCCTTCCTCCTACATGCAGCTTCACACCTTATGAACTCAGGTGAGGTCAGCCTCTGAGCATCTGAGTCAGGGTTTCCTGCTTAAGAGGGAATTCTCTGTTCAGTGGACAAGTGAGCATCAGTGGCTGAGTAGCATCCCAGCCTTTCCTGGGGTTCTGATGGTGTCTGCTGCTGGGGGCGCTGTTACGTGGCCTGCTGGTCTGTGTACCCATGTACCCATGTACCCCTGTACCTGTGACAGAAGCCACTTAAACGCAGCTGCTCCTTCATGCTTTGGATGCAAGATCTTCATTTCCAGAGATCCGTGGGGACTGGGGGTGTCCCCTAGCGAAAGGCTCCCGGGGCCACCTGCAGGAACGGGGGTGAGCAGAATCCAGCAGTAGAGGCAGGTGTGGGTTTTTTTTCGGGCCTATGTGTTGCTCTGGTTTTGCTGTTCATGAACACCTCAGCAGTCATCCACAGGTAAGTTACCATCAGAGAAAACTGTCCAAGCACATTTTCCGCTTGCATGTTGATATGTCTATATTCACAGTGACAACTCATGAAGAAATGAATGTTTCTAGATGAAGTGACACCAAGGCTTCCACTGTCCCATGTCTAATAGCTGATGGTTTGGGAAGGGCGGGAGAGAGAGAGAGGATGGCTAAGGGAGTGGGCGTAAGCTGGCTTCCTTGCTGGCTCTGTGACTCTCTCATCTTTTTTTTTTTTTATTAATTTATTTCTTTATTGAATCACTGTGGGAAAAGTTACAGAGCTTTTGGGTTTAGGTCTCAGTCACGTAAATATCAAACACATTTCCCTTTACCAATACTTATTTTTAACCGCGAACCCCAATAGAACCCCACCTCCCACCCCTCCCAATTCCTGTGAGGCAGATGAGTTCTAGTTAATACTCTATCTACTTTGACTCGATACATTGTTTCGATAGAAGATGCACAATTATTGTTTAGAGTTTACGACCCCCCTCCCCCACAATCAGACATGCTGAAACAGCATTGTGAAATGATTTGCTTTCTACAACTTGGTTTAAGAATAAAACGATGTCGCATGGCCACGATAGCGGCCGCGCGGTTTTGGATTTCTGCTATTTTACTTATTAACCCTGGAAGAATTTCTATTAAAAGTTAGATAGTTAAGAGATTGGTTTCTGTGCTCTGGAGTCGTGGCCGTGCCGGAGAGCCGCTCGGGGGGCAGCTGGCGACCTCGGTCGGGCGTGAAGGACGGCCCATTACGCCCCCCTTCCCATGAGGTCCCTGCCGCCCCCACCCGCGGCTCAAACCTGCTGTCCACAAGGCTCCCGTGCGGCAGCCATCTTTCTTTCCAGAGAGGAGTGGGCGAGCGGGTCAACACCCTTTCCCCTCCGGGCAGGCATGCTGGCGCGGTTTAACACATAGTCCATTTGCTTTTCTGCTCCAAGCGGGTGGCTCTCTGTGCTAAGTCCTTGTGCCTCCGGGGCCGTGGCCGTGCCGGAGAGCTGCTCGTGGGGGGCAGCTGGCGACCTCGGTTGAGCGTGAAGGACGGCCCATTACGCCCCCCTTCCCATGAGGTCCCTGCCGCCCCCCCTCCCCCGAGGCTCAAACCTGCTGTCCACAAGGCTCCCGTGCGGCCGCCATCTTTCTTTCCAGAGAGCGACTCTCTCACCTTTATCTCTTTATTCACACCAAGGAATGATGATGGGACCCATAACGCTGGTTAATGAGAATTCAGTTGATATAACATCATAGAATGCCTGGTTAGTGCTATTCAGCTGGTGTCAGCTAATAATTTTGTCTCATGCCCTCAGCTTGATGCTTCTACTGTTGCTAAGAAGAGTTAGGTTAGGTCTTTTATTTATTTTTTTTCTTTGGGTCACACCCGGTGATGCACAGGGGTTACTCCTGGCTCTGCACTCAGGAATTACTACTGGCAGTTGCTCGGGGGACCATATGGGATACTGGGAATCAAATCTGGGTCTGCCGTGTGCAAGGCAAATGCCCTACCCACTGTGCTACCACTCCAGCCCCAGGTTAGGTCTTTAAAAAAAGATTTTTTTTTTATTGAATCACCGTGAGATACAGCTACAAAGCTTTCACAATTGAGTTTCAGTCATGCAATGATCAAGTACCCATCCCTCCACCAGTGCACATTTCCCACCACCAATGTCTTCATTTTCCTTCCTGCCACCCCCATCCCGCCCCTGCCTCTGTGGCAGGCACTTTCCTTCTCTCTCTCTCTCTATCGCTCTCTCTTTCTCTCTCTCTACTTTTGGGCATTATGGTTTGCAGTACAGAGTTAAGTTAGGTCTTAACAGGATTGAAAGTAGAGTTAGCACCAGGCTCGCCTCCCGTCTCTGGCTTACCACCAGGGAAGATGTCGCATGCGTGGAAACCAGAGTGGGCTCATTCGGTGCTAGTCAGAGTCTTGTCTTCGTCCTTGTAGGGAAACGATCGCCAGTCAAAGTCAACCATTGGATCCGTCGAAAACCCCACACCTCAGCCCCCCAAGAGGAAAGGGAAGAAAGAAGATGTTGGCGTAGCGAAAGCCACGAAAGGGAAACAGAATGTGAAGTTGAAGAAGTCAGCTCAAGCGGCTCCAAACAGTGGTGAGTTTGTTGTCTTCTCCTGGTCGTAGGGCTCTGTGCAAGTTTTGATCTCAAAGAGATGTCCTTGTTTCTCACACGGGGACCTCAGAGAAGAGTGTTTGGGGGAGACTTACCACGTAGAAAAGATGATGCTGTTTTCTGGATGCAGTTCTGTTAGTAACCAGAGGTGCTGCAAAGACTCTTGTTTTCTGATAAAAACACTTCTTGTTGGTCTTACAATTTTTCGTTATTTTTTATTTATTTATTTGGGGGGGGCAGTGTACATTTCTCACCACCAATGTCTCTAATTTCCCTCCTTCCACCTCTCACCCCCAGTTTGCCTCTATGGGAGATACTTTCTCTGTCTCTCTGTCTCTCTCTCATTTTCGTCATTAATGTTTAATGTTTGAGGTACAGTACTGAGAGGTTATCATATCTACCCCTCTACCTCCTTTTAGAATTCAGTTCTTGTCCAGAGTGTTCATTTTCCAACTGTCATTGTCATACTGGTCTCCCCTTTATCTTAGCCACCCTCTCCCCCTACTAATCAGCTAAGTTGTCAGGATTTTTGCTTTTATTTTTGTTTGTGTAAGGAATCCCAAATAGTTTTCAACAATATTTATATTGGTTGGCATGAAAACAGAGAAAGCACATTGAACATGGAAAGAAGTCTTATTTTAAAGGCACTAAGGAAAAAGGTAGGAACCATCCATTCGTGGCTTTCTCTACGCCAACAGCATTCTGTCTTTAGAGAATGCTGAAGTTGAAGTTGTTTGCAGTATTTTCCCATTTTAGGTGTATATATATTTTCAGTGTACTTTTGTCATATGTAGGTGAATGCTTTTTTTTAAAATTGCTAGATCTTACTGTTACATGAAACTTTAGGGGCTAATTTCCATCCCCACCCTCCATCCCCAATAAGAGCCAAGTATCACTCCTGATGTCAAAGCAGATAAAATAGTTAACAAAGCATTTTATATCTTTTCATTTTGATTGAGAAAAGGTATAATTTTGAAAAATAAATGTTGGCTTCCCCAAACATTTTTTTCCCCTCTAGAAAAAAATGAAAAAAAAAATGTTACTGTTCAAAAAGAAAGTTTAAATCATCATTGATAAAGTTTAAGGATGTTACTTTACGTCTATGCTGTTGAAACCTGGACTAATTTTTGGGTGACAAATCTCTGCTGATATTTCCTGCTATAGAAATTTTCTAGGTTATGTTGTCAAAAGTAACCTTCTTTCCTTGTTTATATTCTTAACTTCAGCCTTCTTTTAGTCATTTACTGTTATGGATGCTCTTTTTTCTTTTTTTTTTGTTTTCATATCTTCTATTACAGTAATTAGAGGAAAGGGGTGCCTTTGTATTCTTCTGACTCAAGGGGGATTTTACTCTTTTACTCTTTTTCTTCTCCCGTTTTTCGTCATACCCAGTGATGCACAGGGGTTACTCCTGGCTCTGCACTCAGGAATTACTCCTGGCAGTGCTCAGGGGACCATATGGGATGCTGGGAATCGAACCTGGGTCGGCCGTGTGCAAAGGCAAATGCCCTACCCACTGTGCTATTGCTCCAGCCCCTACTCTTTATGTTTTTACTCTAGTCCTTATTTCTTTCATCTTCTTTAGAAAGGTGAGAGGAATAAGGACTAGAAGGAAAATGAAAGATATGAAAATTGGTTTTAGCGTTGACATCCACATAGTTTCTTTTATAGATTTTAAATTTGCAATTAAGTGATCTACTTGATTTTACTTGAAAGGGTTAATTGTTATAATTTGGATGAGTATCTCTGAAGATTTCCTAGTAGGTATTAGAGTGTGTAATTTTTTTTGACCCAGCTACTTTTACCTATACTGTGCTCATCTTAATTAGAAAAAAATAAAATTTTAATCTAACTTGCTTTTTTTTTTGAGAATGAATATTGAGTCACATTATTTTGTCCCTTTTTTACTGTAGATATGCAGATACTTCCTGGGGTTCTGTTATCTGCAGAAATTAGCAGTGCTAATAACAATCTGTAGATGGCAACCTGGCTCTAATTTTATTTCTTTTTCTATCTTTCTCCACGTCCGCCCCCCACCCCCACCTTTAAGACTGTTTCTCTCTGTAATAGTAAAACTTAATAATTCAAGCAGAGCGCTGACATATTTCTTCAGGGAAACAAATCCCATTTTCTTTTGGTAGCCAAGATGCAAACCAAGATTGCTTGGTGATTGATGAAGTTGGGTGTGAAATGCATTTTTAGTGCTGCATTTAAATACCAGCTTAACTGGTCAGTCTCTGTTTGCAGTTCCCCTTTCCACTTGAGTTCCCCTGCTTGAGATGTTTCAGAATCCTCTAACTAGCTACAGTCTCCAAAACCGTAATGAGGATTGTTTCCTAGTAGCGTTTATGGGGTGGATTATATTCATTGATGTCTTGAAATATCATTAGGTGAAAAAAAATTAGCGTTTTAAAAAATCTTTGGAACACAGGAAAGAGTGAGTTTAGGGCTCTTTACATCTATCTATCTATCTATCTATCATCTATTTTTTTCTTTTTGGGTCACACCCAGCAATGCAGGGGTTACTCCTGGCTCTGCACTCAGGAATTACTCCTGGTGGTGCTCGGGAGACCATATGGGATGCTGGGAATCGAACCCTGGTTGGCCGTGTGCAAGGCAAACGCCCTACCTGCTGTGCTATCTCTCCAGCCCCTCTATCTATTTTTTTTAATGGCCGAGGGAGCAGTGGAATTGGAATTGCTGTGGTCTTGATAATCATCATATTTTCTAAAGGCAGAGGATTAAAATATAAGCAAACACAAGACTTGGTGTTTTTGTTTTGATGGATCTGATTTCCTGTATGTGTGGCCGGAAGGGGAACTTGGCTTTCTTCTTTCTCTTTTCTTTCTCTTTCTTTCTTTCTTTCTTTCTTTCTTTCTTTCTTTCTTTCTTTCTTTCTTTCTTTCCTTCCTTCCTTCCTTCCTTCCTTCCTTCCTTCCTTCCTTCCTTTCTTTCTTTCTTTTTGCTTTTTGGGGTCACACCCCGTGATGCACAGGGGTTACTCCTGGCTCTGCACTCAGGAATTACTCCTGGCGGTGCTCAGGGAACTATATGGGATGCTGGGGAACGAACCCAGGTTGGCCGTGTGCAAGGCAAACGCCCTACCTGAAAGCTCCTTGGCTTTCTTCTTGATGCAGTTTCTGGGTTAGTCCCAGCCATGACCCACGATTTTTCTCAAGATACCCGGGCTGTCCACCCTGGACAGCTGCGGTGTCGGGAAAGCTTTGTGTCTGTCTGGACTCACCTGGCCTTCTGTCTGTCCTGGAGCAGTGAGGCTCTGGACCTCTTAATAGCGACAACCCGCACTCAACCTGCTGCATCGTGCCACACATGCCGCATGACCGAACCTCCCCACAGTCCATCCTTTCAGGAGACATGGGGCCGGGAACGCGGGATGCTGCCCAGGACTCAGGCACCTGGGGAGAGAAAAGTTTTCCAAAGTGCTTCACGCATCACGCCACTAGTGGGGCGGTACGCCCTGGGAGCGAGTGAGAGGAGAGTTCGGGCTCGCAGAGGGTGAACACCAGGTTGGGTATTGGCTTTGATCAATAAGCTCAGGGTCAGTTTTGTGCTTTGTCCAGAGCCTGTGGTCACCTACCCTCTTCTCGGATGGGGAAATACAGATTCCCACCTGCTCCCCCCCCCAAAAAAAAACTCAATTTTTTTTTTGACTGCTGGACTTTGAACCCAGCACCCCTTCAGTTTAATGTTTGGGCCCTGCCACAGATCCCTGAATCCTTATTCTGGCTTGTTACTCTAAGTTACTCTAAGACCCACTTCCCGCTCACGGCCAGTGCTGGGGCTGACTCATCTGTACAATCTGGCCCATTTGGTATGTCGCACTGTAGCACTGTCCGCCTGTTGTTCATCCATTTGCTCGAGCGGGCACCAGGAACGTCTCCATTGTGAGAGTTGTTGTTACTGTGTTTGGCATATCGAATACGCCATGGGGATCTTGCCAGGCTCTGCTGTGCAGGCGGGATATTCTCGGTAGCTTGCTGGGCTCTCCGAGAGGGATGGAGGAATTGAACCCTGTTCGGCCACATGCAAGGCAAACGTCCTACCCGCTGTGCTATTGCTCCAACCCATTTGGTATGTAAAGTCCATTTTTTTTTTATCCTTCTCAGCCACCCTCGTTGTTTGCAAAATAAGATAGAATCCTTATTGCGCATGCCCCTCGGTTGCCTATCCCGGTGCGGATACAGAGAACAGATCCCTGGTAGGTTGCAAGCTCGCTCATTTATTCTGATTTTATACAATCAGATGATAATGCCTCACGGTTTCCGTGAAATGGGCCAAGATTATCTTCCCTTAAACATGCCATAATAAGAGCCACTTTTTGTTTTTTTTTTTCTTTTTGGGTCACATCCGGTGATGCACAGGGCTTATTCCTGGTTCATGCACTCAGGAATTACTCCTGGCGGTGCTCGGGGGACCATATAGGATGCTGGGAATCGAACCCGGGTCGGCTGTGTGCAAGGCAAACACCTTACCTGCTGTGCTATTGCTCCAGCCCCAATAAGAGTCACTTTTCATTGGCAGGTCGGCAAACCTGATAGCCCCCCCTGGACCACCCTCCCCAGCAAGCACCATCCCCCCTGCCCAGCCCCCAAGCCCTTATCCCCACCTCTTTCCATTCTCTTTGTACCTCTTGTGTCTGGCTCTCTGCTAGGCCTTATTTTGCTTCCTGTTAGGGTGCTGACCCCAAGTGCAGTGATTTTATGGAGGGTGCTTGCTTCGCCCCAGTTCCATCACCAAGAGCCATCCTGAGCTCTGCTCCCTGCAGTGCTTTGCAGCCCTTCTGGGGCACATAGCTTCTGGGTGCGACTATAGGGTTGCTCTGGCCCAGGAAACTGATGGCCGTGTCTCTCTTTCTTTTCTTTCTTTCTTTCTTTCTTTCTTTCTTTCTTTCTGTCTTTCTTCTTCCTTCCTTCCTTCCTAATTTATTTTTTGTTTTTTTTTGGGGGGGGGTTACACCCAGT